TTGTACCCAAAACCTGCAGAGTGCCAGCATCCCCTGTCTTACACTGGAGTAGTGTACATCTGTTTGCAAAATTTATGTCTTCAGCAAAAAGAATAGAAAAGCTGAAAGTGAGGGGATATATGTAATTATGATGGACTGACTAGTAACTGCTTCTGGAGCAGCACAGATAAAATCCTGTAATATATGTCAAAGCTGGTTATTCTACCTTATTTCAGTACAGGAACAAAATAAATTTTCTTTCAGCTGTGAATTTATTTTTCCCATCTCAGTGAGTGTTACATGGGCAGGTACCAAAAGTTAACCAGGTGTGAGATGAAGCAGCTGCAATACTGCTTACAAAAAGCTCTGATTGGCCCCTGCCCTGACCTAAAACCAGAGCATGCTGTAACAGAAGTTCTTTCAGAACAGTGGAGGTGGGAAGGACAGTCTCAAACTGCTGAGATGGGCCAGCCCAACCTCTCTGCTCAAAGCAGGGTCACCAAGAGCTGGTTGCTCAGGACCGATTCCAGTTCAGTCTTGAGTATCTCCAAGGATGGAGATCCCCCAACCTCTATAGACAGCTTTTTTTTTCCATTATTTGATCACACACAGACTAAAGAAGTTTTTTTCTTAGGTTTAAATGGAATTTCTTGTATTTGAATTTGTGCACACATTACCTCTTGTCCTTTTACTGGGGACTGCTGAAAAGAGTCTGTGTCCATCTTCTTTGCACCCTCCCTTCAGATATGGATAAGATCCCTCTGTGCCTTCTCTTCTTCAGGCTGAACAGTCCCAACTCTCTCAGATTTTCCTAATTTGAGAGGTAGCCCACTCCCTTAGTCATCTTCATGGCCCTTTGTTGAACTTTTTGCAGTATAGCCATGTCTCTGTTGTACTGGGGAGTCCTGAATTGGACCCAGCACTCCAGATGTGCCTCAGCAGGGTTGAGCAGAGAGGGAGAATCACCCCCCTCATAGCATCATAGAATCACTGTGGTTGGAAAGGGCCTCTAGGATCATCAAGTCCAACCTTGATCCCAACATCTCCCTAACCACTTGACCATAGCTTCAACCTGCTGGCAATGCTCTTCCTAATGTAGCCCAGGAGGCTGTTGGCCTTCCTTGCTGTGAGGGTGCATTGCAGGCTTGTGATCAGCTTGGTGTGCACCAGGACCCCCAAGTCCTTTTCTGCCACACTGCTTTCCAGCCTGTTGGAGGCCAGCATGTTCTGGGGCATGGGCTGTTCCTGTCCAGGGCCACGGCTCTGAACTTCTTTGAACATCAGCAGTCAGCTTGAAGAAGAAATGGTAATGGGAACCACTTGTGGTGCTGATTACAATGCAGTTCTCTGCCATCAGTGAAAAGATATAAGATTTTTTAAATATAAAATATTTGTCTAAAATTTTGTGCTTTCTCAGAATATGTACATGGCTATATATAAATATTTTCATAGAAGATAGGACGTGGGACAGAATTCAGACTGCTTGGATTGTATAGCCCCTCTGAGCAATGCATTAGGAGTTATTCCACAGTTGCACTAATCGACTGCAAAGCCATTGTGGTGCTCAAAGGCAAAGTCATTAAGTCTGCCAAGACTTTTCATCTCCATTTAGATATCTGACTGTCTCAGGTACTTTGCACCGCTCTACCAACCAGCATCCTTTAATTCTTTTATGAAAGAAAGCTTCTGTTGGAATGGGAGGCTTACCTCTGAGCTGATTCTAACACCATTGTGTCAGAATACATGTGCAGGAGAGCTTTTTTTTTTTCCTTTCTTCCAGGAAATTTTAAATTAGAAGTCCCTAGGCATCCTCTGTTGCAATTAAGTTCTATCCAGCTGTCGCTGATACCATCTGAAACACTCAGGTTATTTAGCTGGCTTTTATCTGTGTTACTGAAATTAGAATATCATGTTCATTTAAGAGCTGATCCTGAGCAGCAGAGCAAACGTCGATCTTTTTTTTTTTTGATTTGTCTGGACTTTGTAAAGCATAGTGACACTTTGCTGTAGGAATTCAAAAGGGTTTGTTGCTTTCAAAGCCAGGCAGATGTAACACACCGTGTGCTGGTGCTCTCCAGCCCTCCACCACAGGCAGTGGGGATGTGGGCTTGCTCAGCACGCTCTGGGAGGGCACCTCAGCTGCAAATTAGAGAGAGTACCTGGGGATTAAGTGGTTGTGCCTGCTCTGTCTTTAACTCTCTCTGTGGCTTAAAAAGAGATGTGTACTTAATGATTTGGCCTTCTGTGATCAGTAGCCCAATCTACAAAGGACAAGCTCCCTTCACAAGGCTGCTGGACATGAAAGGGAGCAGGATGTTGCTGTTGCACAACGTGCCTTGCTTAGGTCTTGTACCACGGCCCCTTGGGAGAAATGGTGAAGAACTAATAGGCTGGGGATGCTGCCCTAGAAAAGCTGAGCAGCTTCTCCTGCACTTGTGTGCAGGCCCTGGCTGCCTAGGGACAGTCCAGTGCTGCCTTCAGGTAGAAGAGCTGGACTTGGCAGAGGGGGCAGCTGCACTGGCCAGCCAAGGTTTCACATCTTAAGGTCCATACCTTGTTTCATAGCATTTAATTTTCAGTGGGTATCCTGAACTGCTTCTTGCAGGTACAGAGTACAGTAAAAAATAAATAAATATTGATACCTTGGTTTAGTATACTTGCATATTATTTGAAATTTTGAATGGGGAACTTTTGCAGTTGCTGTTATTCATTAAATAACCTCAGGCCCAGCTAGAATGCTGTAGTCAAAGTGGTTATTTCATGTGTGTTTATCTTGCTTATTTTGACACCAGTTTTCTTGTCGTAATCTGCTAATCCAAATGAAAATTATTTTCCTGGCTTTGAGAACCCCTTAACAGTCCTCCTGCCTTTTAATTAGTCAAATGTGAACTGAATGTGGAAAAAACCTGAAGGCAGGGTGAAGACCTGAGGGCAGTTTATGAAGTTGCCTAAAGAAAGAAATACCAGCAGATGATCTTTGCATTTTTTCCACAGGTGATTTATTCTTTGTTAATATGAGTATGATGTGAAAAGAAGTTTAATTTCAGGCATGTATATAACACTGAATTTTCCCAACTTTAGCAAGTCTTTGTGCTGTATGTGAAATCTGCTAGAGGTGAGTTTGAGTATGCAATTTTAAGGATATAAGCATCAAAATTATTGGACTGGAGTCAACAATTTAAAAAAATAAATAACTAAAAACATTTTCCCCCCTTTCTGTCTCATTTTAAGGAGCCTAGAAAAGGGTGGACAACTTGCACAGAAGTGCTTACGCAAGGCAACTGAATTATCAAGTTGTTTATTTAGGTTCCGTTGGCATTAGGTGACCCAGTTAATACTGAGCTATCCTTGGAGGCAGGGGGAGATGATTGCTAGAGGGGCAGACCTGTGACTAAATCAGAAAAGCCTAAGCTAGCTTAAGTAACCCATGGCTGCTCTCCGTTCCCATTGCTTTAGCTCCTCCCAGGGACTGACAGACACAGTTCTAGGGCAGTGAGACCACATGAGCTCCAGGGTTTGGGCCTGTGGGCACTCTCACACGTTGTCCTTCTCCCCCTCCTGCCTTTCCTTGCTTCCTTGTGACTTCTTCATGGTAATGCCTTCATAAGACATTGGTTTTACAATCATATTATCATTTGAATTGCTCTACGAAAGTGCTGTCTGACTCTAGGGATGTGTTGTAGAAATTACAACTTAGAACAATTTTGAGTGTGCCATAAATCAAATGTTATAGGAGGAGCAGCCTGGTGAGGTGTGGGGTGGAAGGTAGTTGCTGAGAAATCTGGGACAAATCCCTTCAGAATTTGTGCCTGCAAGCTCAGAACTCAACTGGGAGCTGGGCATTTGCTGGATTTGGACTTTCTCCCACACCCTGTGTGGCCCAGGCCTCAGAGCCAACAGCATTTGGTGGTGGAGGATGGCCGTGGAGCCCGTCAGCATGTCCAGGCAACCGTGGGTTGCTCTTTGTGAGAAAGAGTGGTAAACGTGCCTGCTGCAAAGCAGGACTCCTCATTCACATGTCTGCTTAATAAATCAAATGAAGTAAGTCAGTCAGGGCTGGGTTTCTTTTCTGTCTTCTTGACCCAAGCAGTTTTTGTACCAGATGTATGTCCACTTCCTCTGAAATTTATTCAGTTGGAAGGAGCAAGGAAAGGCTGTGAGTCAAGAGCAGAGTGTCTGTGGGAGCCTGGGCAGGGTGGACAGCCATGAGCTGGACACTGGTGTACTGGGGCTGAGTGACTAAACCTAACAGTGAGCAGGGAGGGGAAAGGTGGGGAGGCAGAGCAAGGTGTGAGGAGCTGGCTGTGAGCTTTGTGTGAAGGCTCTGCAAGCCCTTTCACATGAATGTTCCTCTGCTTGGGCACTTGGGTTCCACAGGCATTGTGGAAAACTAAAAATACAGGTGTGCTTTTGGTGCTTGCTTTTGCTGGTAAAGATGTTGCTCTGTGTTCTGGCAGATTTGTAGTGCAAGTAATGAAAAACAAATAGCAAAACCTAAGGAGATCAAAACTCATCTCTCTGTCACTATGGCAACTGGGAGTTCACCGATGGATTTAATTCTGCATGCTCTGTCTGAATTTCAATGCCCTTGTCTCAAGGATGAGTTACGTTTGAAAATGAGGAAAGTACAAAGGCTGTTTAGCTACATTTATTTCAAGTCTGTCTTTCTGCAGGGAATTTGAAAATAGTACACTAAATATTGGGTTGGGGCAATGGTCTGTTAATGGCATATTTGTTAAAGCTGAAAGCTGCTGAGAACTTAGGAGCTTTTATCCTTAGGTTTATATTTGTTTCTTTTAGTTTAAGAGTTACTTCACTCTCAGTAGCAAACTGAAAGTGCTAGGGAATGGGATTTTTCTTTTCCCAAAGTACAGCAGCACTGGAACTTCCTCCACTGGCACCTTGAAGTAAGAAAGAGGATGGCCGTCTGGGAAACAATTTTGTTTCAGTTACCAGGTTAATAGAAATGTATTTATCACAGAGATAAATCTTGCTTATTATTTATTTATTGTATTTTTCAGGTGCTGCTAAATCCAGTCCAGCTTCTAAACCAGGATCAACACCTTCTCGCCCATCTTCAGCAAAAAAAGCTGCACCAAGCAGCTCAGCATCCAAGTCAGATAAAGATTTGGAGACTCAAGTCATACAGCTCAGTGAACAGGTAAATTTGCTTTAGGCATAAAATTAGATGCATTCATTGTCCCAGGCAGGCATGGAATCTAATATTGCTCACTGTTGAATGATGCACTCCAGAATTATGCAGGGACAAAAGATTCAAGTAGCTCAGCTGGGAAGAAAAATGAAGTGATTTATTGCTAAAAATAGTCTGACAGAGATGACTGGTGCTTGCCAGTATCTTTAAAAGGTGGTCTTAGGAATGACAGGTAAGCCTTGCTGAGGTATGATAATTTTATTAGCTGTTCAAATCTATCTTTTCTTTCACTTGGATAGGGAATGTGTCAGTAGTGTCCTAGCTCTTGTGTCTTATAAATTTGAAATAAATCATTTTAATGTGTTACTGTGGAGAAAACAAGCCTATTTGTAATACCAAGGTGTTAGAGGTTTGCAGCTGCATCAGGACTAGCTCATTGCACTCTGCTTTCTGGAGGGAAGGCATTATGGTAATATGCCTTTTTCATTTGAAAATGTAATCTGCCTTTTGTGAGAATACTCAGTTATATTATAACTAATATTCTGCAATATAATTAAGCAAGCTTTGGAATGAGGCCTAATCCCTGTATTTGTCCTGGACCAAAGAAAATGGAAAGGGAAAAACCCTTGTGTTTTAGAGTCTGAGCTGCCTGGCAGCTGCATTCAGGAAGAAGTTGTTATTCTGAATCAAGTATCATTTTTTCACAATTAAGGGAATTTCAGTTTTAGTGTTTCATTGACATGAACAACAAAGATTTCACTTTGTTGGGATACTGTTTGCAAATTCTTGGTTACTGATACACACACTTACAGGTGGTGGATGGATAACCATATCCCAAACACAGCAAAATGCAGATTCAGGGTATAATTCTGAGCAGCACAGAACACAACAGGGTCCAGCAACATTCCAAATGAGCTTTTGATTGTTGTAACAGAAAAGTTTTTGAGTGTTGCACAAGGAATGGATGCATATAATTTTCATGGATTTTTTTTTTAATCATTGTAAGAGTGTGGAGTTCAAACATCAGCTTAATGCAACTTAAACCATGACATTTGTACTCAGAAGTCAGGATGTGTTTGCTTCAGGAGGAAGAGTTGGTTGGGATCTGAGTAGCAGAAAAATATTTGATCTTTACTAAAATAGGCAGTTGCTATCACATCCACTGCTAATGTATTCCTAGCACATTTCATGTGTGAAAACCTTAAGCTTTATATACAAATAACCCTGAGGGAAAAACTGATGATTTCCCCCATCACCAAAGAGGAGAAGAAATTTGGAGGATTTGGGAAGTTGGTGTTTTAATAGCTAGTTTTTCAGAGACCTCTTCTACCCAGGATGGTTTGGAAGACTTTGGTTTTTTGATGCTGGCAGCATCTGGTATCCCATTTGCCACTAATGGTTACTTGTGCACCCTGGGCATATGACATGAGCCAAAAAGTCTACGCAGCAAGCATCTCTGAGCCAGGCTTTTCTGACCCCCAGTCTGAACATGCTGAAAGATCCAAACTGCCTGTGTTTTACCAATCTCCAGCAACCAGGGAGATGAGGGCAGCAGCCACTTTTAGCCAGTAGCTGTCTTGATTATGAGTAAGGAATGCTGAATAGTGTCTGTGGATACCAAATTCCTGTATGGCTGTAACAGTTTTTTCCCAGCCCTTTCATGGATGGCAGTTAAGGGAGATTGAAACATCTGAACCTCCATGCAATTTGTAGTGGAAAATTTTAAATGCTGGGTCTGTCTGTACACTGTATTTTACCATAGGGTGGCTTAATGAGCTATTTGCAATAATCGTAAGCCATCCATAACATCTGCTGCTTTAACAGCCCCCAACAATCTTAAAGTTTCTCTTAAAATGGTCTTAGCCATTGCCTGGTCTGTGCTAGTAAATTGAACACTTCCAAGGAACGTCACTGTGCACTGAAACTTGATTACCCTTAGCATTAAACACTGAAGTGGTCCCTGCTGTGTTCTTTGGTCTGTGCCAACTAACAGTCTCCCAAAGAGTTTCTGATTACAGCTGAGGAGACAACACAGACCAGGGACCATTACATGTGGAGAATGCTCTCAGGAACCATTAACTCTATGCTAGTATACACATAGTTTCTGAAAACAGCATTGTCTTGGCTGCATGTCTATGGTATGTGCCTAGTCTCCAGCCTGGCTCTGCAGTCCTGTGGGTATCCGTGCTACCCAAAAGTGCCATCAGAGAAAAGGCCAGTGAATAAAAACTGCTGCCTTTGCCCCATTAACTGGATTGCAGAGGTGTGGTTCTGGTCCAGGAGCAGAGCACAGGAGGTAACATTGTGGCTCTCCAAGGAATATGCTGCTGTGGATCAAGAAGACATGTCTTAAACATGAGGTCTTCATCTGTAGACCAAAATATTGTGAACTGTTGTTCCATTTTGCTGTCCCTACTTTTCATTAATAAATAGTTACTTTTAAGGTGACTGGTCATTGTGTCAATCATAGATTCAAACTGCCAAGGGTAAGACTTGGGTGTCATGCTCAGGCAGCTGGTCAGAAATGTCTCAGTACCTGAATGAGATGCTCTGAGATCCTGCCCTGGTAATAGGTCAGTCCTGCTGTCTGACACCTCTGAGAGTGCAATCAGAGGTCAGGAGAAGGGTTTGCTAGCTCAGCAGCTATGGAGAAATGAACTGATAGGATTTAGTAGGCTGTCAAAGCATTGTTTGAACTCTGCTGGTATTTCTACTAGTGAAGGAAATAAATTAGCTTGCAGTAGAACTGGCAACACAGAACTTTCTATTAAATTTAATCAGTTCATTGAAATGCAGTCTGATGCAATTTAATTTACTTAGCATGTTTTATTTAGGGAATCATTTGTATAATTGTAGGCCTTAAAATGTGGATGCTAATTTGGCAGTAATGTGGATGTGATTGGGGTCAGTGTGCTTACCACAGACAGCTTCAGCTGTGATTGTTTCTGTTGGTTGGTGCACTCTCCTCCAAACTGGGGAGCCACTTACACATTATACCCCATTGGGCAGTAGTTTGTTATCCTCCCACCAAACTGTTCTTTTTTTAAATATATTTGTGTGTATCTATACCTATGTATAAAAATATATTGAAACATCTGTCATGACTTATATGAAGCCTAGTAATTAACAGCTATGTTGCCCATAAATGATTTGCAGCAGTCCTAATGGTGAAATTGAGACTGACAGTATAGCTTGAAGACTCATGTGAACAAGGTTGCAAAGAGAAAGATACTTGGCATTTGAGAGACTTTGTTGATAGAAACAGCACATCAGTCAGAGCAGAAGGTCCATGGTGCAGCCAGCCACGTGCCAGAACAGGTCTAAAAGAGTATGGTAAGTGGGGAGCCAGAAAAGGAGAGGTGGAAAAACAACACAGCAACACTCATGTTTGCAATGAGGAGACCTTTTCTTTTCCTAACTAGACAATATCCCTTGGTTATCTTTTCTGCTAGATCTCCATGTTTTCAGGCAAGGAGGTATTGTAAGTTTCCCACAAGTACACATTAATAAAACTTGCATTATTTTGCCTGGATTAATTACCACTACATGACACTTCTGGCAGCTTTGTTAGGAGACAAGTCTTGAGTAGCCCTGATTCCTGAACAGCTGCTTTGGGTTTCAGTATAAAAGAACACTGAGAAAACTGACCTTTAAGGGTCAAGGTTAGGATACATCCAAGAGGTGTAACGGGGGAGCCTGATTTACTGTTCCCTGAGGTTCACGGGCTGCCCAGAGAGGTTGTGGAGTCTCCTCTTCTGGAGAGTTTCAGAACTCAGCTGGACACGTTCCTGGGCAGCCTGCTGTAGGTGAATCTGCTTTGGTCAGGGGTTGGACTAGATGATCTCTGGAGGTCCCTTCCAACCCCCACCATTCTGTCATTCTGTGAAAGTTCAATCTAGCACTTCAGGCCAAAAAGTGGACTTCATTCTAAGCTATGAAATTGAATAGATACTTAAGATTGTTTAGCATGCATCATTTTAGATGGAGTGGTTTTGTCTGTAGAGCACCTCACAACTGATGCATCATGTCTGGCTTTGTATGCAGGTACATTCATTAAAACTTGCACTTGAAGGCGTGGAGAAAGAAAGGGATTTCTACTTTGGCAAATTAAGGGAGATTGAACTTCTCTGCCAAGAACACGGGGGAGAGAATAATGACTTTGTCAATCGGCTAATGGAAGTCCTTTACACTTCAGAAGAACACGTAAGTTCAAGCTTAATGTCTTTTATTTAGACACAACAGCTTAATTTCTTAAAAATTTATTGGCACAGTAATGGGTCATGGCCTTTATTTGGGCCAGCAGAACTGTAGCAGCTGGGATTTCCACAGCTCCTCCCCTCAAAAGGATGTTTGCATTTGCAAACAACAGATTTTTTTCAGCCTGGGCAGGGGTTTCAGGAGGCTGGTTGCTTTTTGCTGCTTCAGTGTATATATTGTATTCTAGGTTTGCTGAAGCTGACCTGGAAGGTGGAGAGGGGGTGTCACAATTTTAAACAGATTTCATAAGGTTGTGAGCCTCAGTTTTGTGTGTGGTGTTTTGGTGGTTTTTTGTTTGGTTGGTGGGGGTTTTTCCTTTTTTTTTTTTCCTTTTCTGCATAAAATCTTTTACTTGTGTTCTTTAACACATTGAAAATCACAAAAATTCTGACAGGTACTGTTCAGTGTCTACAGCTGGGAACCTTCTCTAGCCCACGTGGCAGGGCTGTAATATGTACAGTGCAGGCTGCCAAAAACGTAATTATCTGCAGAGATAATGCTCTTTAGCATTTTTTTATTATTATTATCTTGTTGCTATAGGCAAAATTCTTCCTTGTGCAAACCCAGTAATCCTCTACTACCAAAATCTCGTCGATGTATTGTCTGCAAGATTAAGCAGCAATCTCATTGTATCTCAGACTTAGCCCTGTAGACACTGAACAAAGCAAGAAGCTGCAAAGGGTGCTGGTTAAATTCCTCAGATGGGTTCAGGGATAATGATTCTGTGGAGGTTTAGCTGCACTGCTCCCATCCATGTTAACCAAATCCCTGTATGCACTGGACTGAGTGACCCTCCAGCCTCCAGCCAACGAGGGCTTTGGCATCACCTTCATCTCTCAGCAGCATGAGGTACCAGAGGTTGCCTTCTGTCTGTTCTCAGAGAGCTGTTGGAGCAGTAGTCAGCTGCCTGAGCATTCTGTTTCAAAAGCAGGGCTGAAGGAACTCCTAATGCACGTGCTTTTCTAACAGAGGCTGGTAGAGCATAAATGAAAGTGAGGTGCAAGAGGGGCACGAGCTTGATGCTGACAGGGACCACTGCTCAGATGAGAAGTGACAGGGGAAAGAGGATTTGTTCAGTGGTGCAGGGCGAGTACTGGAGAGGAAGAGGAGGAGGAAGCTGGTGTTTTCACAGGAAGAAACAATGAGACAAATTTGCCAGGCACGTGATAACAGTCTAAAAGAGTATGTGTAGTGGTGAGAGAAGAGGTCTTCTGAATTCAAAACCAGCAATTTATTTATAAAGCAAAGCCAGGAAAAAATCCCTCTTCTCCCCATACCCCTGCCACATCTGCCTGTCTGTTGGCTTGCAGAGCAAGTGGTTCCACGCCAAGGAACGCATCTGTTGCTTTTCTTCCTGCAGTTTTCCTTCCTGGCAGAGCACATTACAGAATCTGCTTCAGTCACACCCCAGGGTTTTATCTGCTTCCTCCCTTCAAGCCTTTCTCTGTTGAAAGCATCATCCATGCCTGTGCATGAACTACATGGGATGACCATGCCTTTATCCAAAATGTGCCTGCAGCTGGAGGTTGGGTATGTCACTTCAGCAGCAGGGCCCTAGAGAAGGAGCACAGGCACCATTCCCCACTCCATTTTGGGTTTTTTTTGTATATTTTAGTGGGAGACTTGGTGTCCTCCTCTTCTGGGGTGCATTTCCATCTCAGCATAGCAGATAGAGAGTGATTTGCTGAGGAAAGACCCCCATGTATTAGCACTAAACCAAAGCCTGTGTTTCCCTTGTTGGGGCAGATCCTGCTTACTTTTTGATTTTGCACTTTATCTCATTGCCCTGCTTTGCCCTTCAGTTGGTTTTTTCCCCTCTCTCTGTAATGAATTTGTCCCAAGGTAAATTCTGTATCTCATGGCATTTTGCAGGTTAGTCCCTTGGCAACAGCAGCTTGTCTTTCCCAATCCCTAGAGGGAAAATTCCCAAACCACAGGCAGCTCCACCATTCCTAAATTCTTGCTAATGAGCTTAGTTTTTTTTTAATCTCTGTTTCAGAGTGTCTCAAGTATACAGAGGCAAAGAAGAAATTTTCAGGATTTGTGACATGTATAAATGAAATTTTGGCTACAAGGCTTTTCATCAGGAAGGGGATGCACAGGAGTCCAGCTCACACATGCTGCACAAGTCATCCCTGAACCTTGTGCTTGGATATTTGGGGCCAAATTTAAATTTGTTTTCAATTCAGGCTTCCAATAACTGCTTGATGGCAATCTTGAGCTCTCCCTTCCTAGGTGTGATTTGACAGGTGTCTGTGTTCAACATGGCACTGAGATCATGGTATTTTTCAAACCAACTGTTCTTCTTCAGAAGGGACAAGACTCCCTTTATACTTAATTTTCTGTTAAGCTTAATTTAATCTTCCTAAAGGAAAAAAAAATAGGAAGAAAATTCTGGACAGCACGTGAAGTGGTCACATCTCTCAGTAGCTCATAGGTCCTCCATGACCATTGTAGGCTGTCCAGTAAATTCTATGTAGAATGATTCAGAAAGCAAGGATAGAGTTTACTCCCTGTAAAAAGCATCCTCCAGAGGTTTTTGTCAGATTGATGTCATTGGGGGGTGGAGTGTAACTATTTTTTCAGAATTCCAAGCCATAGTGTAGTTTCAACTATGTCACTTCTCTAACTTCTGTTTTGTTTAATTCAGTACAGTCTAAGTTTTTAAGACTGATTAATTTATTATGTTTTATTATTTGGTCTTGATTTTTGAGAGGTTTTGAGTCCTACAGCACAAATATCAATCCATTTGAGTTCCTTTAGAGGCTCCCTTTTCTTTTCCCTGTTATGGTTCTGTTTTAAATCTTCTTCTTATGTCTGCTTATGCAAGAGGGATGTTGTATCTGCCCGGGCCATTTAACATTTGGCTGATCAATCTTTAATCATTTGTAATTTTTAATTACAAATTGCTCATTTGCAATCCTACTTCATCAAAAGCATTAAAGTTGATAGTGCACAGTGTTAAAAGGGAAACATTTAGGTGGTGGTGAGATGTGACCCCTACCTGTGACTGCTATAGAGACCATTAAGACCTCAGATAGTAGGTGAAGCAGTTGGTCATATAGTCTTACAGTGGGGGAGCTTCAGAAGAGGCTACATGGCTAGGTGTGAAACTTGGAGCCATGTTGGTCTTGGCATAAAGCAAAAAAGTAGCTTTCTGTATCAGCTGTCCTGGTTCAGTTCATGGAGAAGTTGAGTGAATTGCTGACATTTGATCTATCAGTTGCTCAGCTCAAGTTTGCAAAGCACTTGTTTGAAATGAAGTGGCTTGTTCTTCCTGCTCAAGCAGCTACTACATCTGCTCTTGCTTTTGGAAAGGAAACCACCCCCCAGCAGCTGCTTTTCATAAAGTCCAGCTCTTCAGTCTACAGGCACACCTGAATAGTTTGAGGCAGATGGATTGAAGGGTCAAAAGAGAGCACCTCTTGCCATGGGAGACAGAGATGACCATGCTCATGTGATCTAACCCAGAAATAAATTCTCTAAATACATCTTCCACTGCTTTCCTTATTAGGGGATGCTATTCAGGCAGATTCCACAGTCCCAAGGTAATTTGGTATAGTGACTCTTGTGCTTCTCATTTAATGGATTTATACAATCTGTACATACCGAGAAGCACATGTCCAAGTCCCAGAACAACTTCTGAGGTAGTCACAGATGATTTACCATTTCCATCAAAGGTAAGCCTGGTCAGAAAGGAGCCACCACGCTTCTTCAGAGCTGCAGAGTAGGTTCCCAAGGTACTCCCTGGAGTTAGAAGCTTTTCCAACCATGTGCATGAAAAGACAGCATGCACATGATCTATAAAGTCTGCATGAGTGGGCTTTCTAATAATACCTGCATGGGCAGAGCCTATGGCATAGGTGCATTCCAGAGCAGGTTGCCTCAACACATCAGGAGAGTCTGGATAGATGGGGTTAAGGGAACAAAGCTCACTGCAGCTAAAGAACCTTTCTTTTTCTCACCCTGTAAGGCAGTCATGTTCTCACAGCTGTCAGCTTCTCTCCTGTTCTTCACGAGTCTCTCACCCTTGCAGCTCATCACAGAAGTTGCAATTTTTAGATCCTATGCAAAAAAAGCTGTTTTGACGTGGTGTAGCTGCTGTATGTGACAAGGGCATTGTTCTGCCCACGGGCCCAGGAGGTGCTGAACTGCAGTTGTCCTGACAGGCATGTGTGGCTTCTACCTGGAAACAGCACCCGAGTGATAGAAGGCTTGCTTTCAGTGGGAATTGGGCTGTTTCTGTAGGTGGTAAATAGCTGAGGATCTCCATTGTACCAGCAAATGTTTGGAACCTTATTCTCCTGTTCTTGCCCTTCAGAAATATGAATATTTTATTGCCAAAAGGGAATTATTTTTTTTTTATTGCATAAGCTGCTCTGAACTATTCTGGGAAAACTCAATTTATGGCCTCCCTTTTAATTTCTGCCTCAAATTTGAAAAAATAGGAGTATCCATTTGGTACAATTCGTTGTTCAGGGTGCTTGCTCCTAACAAAAATTGCTGGGAACGAGGTGAGATCTGCAGAGGTGCCACATCAGGGATGCTGTGTTGTGAATGGCAGCCCAGTGTCTTGGAAAAGTGTTTTCCTTTGGAGCTGCCTACAGCCAAGCACTACTAATGCAGAGCAGAGAGTAGATGGGGAGGAACTTTTCAGTGAACCGTGCTCCAGAAAGATGGAAGCGAGTTGAGAGGAATGCTGTAAATGGAGCTGTGCTTAATGGGAAAAGAGAATTCAGGTCCTAAGAGCCAGGCAGCTTTTTTGAGCTCTGATAACATCCGACTCAACTCAAGAAACCAGGTCTGTTGCCTCCAATTTGGAAATTGTTTGAAGCTGGTATCACCTGCAGTGAGGATCCAGCCTTCCCTTTGGTCAGGAATTCTTCTCCCAAGGGGAACATATCTGCAGAGACAGCTCTGGAAAATACTGCACATAACTGTCTGCAAAAGGGGAGTGTTTATTGGTGATTAGTGCTTTTAACAGTAGCTCTATAAATCAGGGAATACTGGACTTAGTTTTTTTTCAAAGCAAATGTGTTTGCAAGTCGTTGGTTATATTTTCTGGATACTGCTAAAAATCACTGTTTTGATAAGCTTTGAACTCTGGTCTGTGTTAGCATGAGGATATTTCAGAAATGTAGTCTACCTGACCTCAAAAAGGAGGGCGAGTTTAATTTTTAAAGCAGATGATAACAAAAATGTCTTGTCCATTTAGTGAGATAAACCTAGAGTGAAGACTGTGTGAGAACTACAGCAGACAGGTTCAGAAGTGCTTGGGCAGACTGAAAATGGGAGGCTATCAGGATGCTGTGATACACCATCTCCCTGTCGAGCATCTGACTGCCAAGCTCTTCAAAACGTTCCTTTACTGGAACAGTTAACACTCAGTGATGTTGAACACTGACACTTGTTCTGGGGCAGTATCAGTACTGTGTAGGCACTGATTAAAAGCCAAGTAAATACACCTGACTGAAGTATTAGGAGATGCTGCTTTTCTCAGGGAACAGCTCATTTTGGACTTGTGTGCACGAAAATCAGAAGTAAAGCTTTAGGCTGTGGCGAGTGCCGTGGGGCGAGATTACATGGGGAATGCTCTCTGCTGAGGAATGTTTTTGGGTCTTTCTCCCTGCAGGAGAGCCACACAGAAGAGCATGAAGGTGAGGAGCAAGTCCACGAACAGCCCCAGCAGCAGGAGGAGTACTGACTCACCCAGCGTCTCTGGCAATTTTCGTTTTGTGTGAGAACTTTCTTCTGGAGAATGGAACATGTGCGGCCTCAAACTTGAAATCAGTTCACTCCCAGTCTGCCATTAACATTTATGTACCATAGTGAGTGCCAGCCAGCCACTGCATTCTGTACCCATACTTTGCCAAGATGCATTTGCAGACGTCTTCTTTCAGTGTATCTTCCCAAGAGGTTGTAGGGCTACATCACCTACTGTACATCACTGCAACTTCACCACTTGGCTGCTTGAGATCTGTTCTGCTCTTTAAAAAAAATATATATATTTATTTTTTTTTCTTTTTCGTCTTAAGTATGATACACTTGTAACTTGTTCTAACATATTTATATTGGCATTTTGTGTGGCAAGAAGTACTGTACCACTAGCTGTCTCTCTCACTTTGTGGTGCTTTCGCATTTTCTAGTCCATCTGCCTCGGGGCATAAATTTGGTTGAACAATTGGAAGCAAGGGACAGGTGGAAGTCGTACTCAAGCCATAAGGATGAAGTGTGTTGTGGAGGAGAATGCTCGTGTTGCTCCCATTTGTTCCTTTCCTGCCTCCACAAAATGGAAGGCAGAACATCTGTTTCCCTAGGAGAGGTTGAAATCCCTGTGTTAGAAAGCTTGTTAGAAAGCTGCATGGTATGTTTTTTTGGCTTATTTCTGGAGGAACAGACATCCACTTCAGTTTTTTGAAAACCCTCCCAGTTTCCTGACTCATCAATAGATGTTTCCCAGGTTTTCTTCCTTCCCGAGGAATCCAGTCCCAGCCTCCAGCTGCAGCTCTGCCTCCACGCAGCCCAGTGCTGGTGGAGGAGGAGAAAGCTCCTTGACACAAGCGTAGCTGCAGGACACTCTCTCTGCTGTCACTTGGCTTCCCACCCCTCAGAAGATGACAAAGTAGTCCAGCCATTGCTTTTCACTGTCCTTCTCCCCACTGCTGCCCTGGCCAAGTATGGAAGACAAGTAATTCCTCACTAGTGCAAGGCATGGGGGAAAGAAGCAGCAACAGCATTAGCCCTGAAATCGTCCCAAACTCCCTTTATGGGTGGTGGAGACCTCCTGGGTGTTGAGGCTGCTTCCAGAGCACGGAGAGGCAGTTGAGGAGTCCTTCTGAGGAGGGAGCACAGGTCAGAGGGGCACCAGCTGGCTGAGGGGCATGGATCCTGCTCTGTGCTTGGCTGCCCTGCCTCCGGTGAGGCTGGTGCGGTGCAGGAGATATCTGCAGTGGGAGCATTCCCTTCCCGTGCTGTCCCACCACCCTGTTCTAAATGATGGTATTTTATAAACAGAGGTGTCTTGAAGTATATAAAGCATTATGAAGATATAAAGCATTCCTTATTTTTCTTGTAAAACTGCACGTTGTAGTCTCTCTGAATATTTATTGCTCGGTATTCTCCATCTCTCACTTGATTTTTGCAATTCTGGATTGTTACACTGGTTCAGCAGGTAAATGGAAGTCCCATCCCAACTGGCAGCCACTGAAAAACTGGGAAGCCTATTGAACAGCTAAATCATCCTAGACCTTCCTAGGCTCCTACAGCGTCAGTTCCCAGCTCACGCTTCCTTGGAAAGGTTTTCAATTATTCAGCCCCCTGGCACCCCCACACCCACTTTTCTGTTCCTAATCAATCTTCTGCAGCTAAGTGGCTCGTAGTTACCTGTGAGATCCCTGCTGTTGTGCTGCACCACAGAAAATATATAAAATACTGTTAAGCACTAGAACAGGTATTTCCACTTCCTGGATGGCTCCCCCTGCTCGAGCAGAGGAGTTCCTGGACCCCACAGGCTGAGGGTTTCCCAGCCCTGCCTCCAGCACTGACCTCGTGTCCTGCCGGGTGCTGAGGTGAGGATCCTGCACCCGGAGCCCAGCGCTTCCCTTTCCTCTTTCGGTTGGTTACAAGTAAGGTCTGGTTTATAAAACTGTGTATATTCCAAACTAAGTATTTCCAAGAATCACCACAAATGGGGGAACTGTCATTTTTGTTGTATTTGTGTTTATTAGAACATATGTACTTATTACAGTTGTCATTGTAATAAACAGTAGTTCTTCATAATACTGTTGAAGAGCAGTTACTAATTTTTTCCAGACTCCAGAATGTCCTTGAACTTGTATGGGATTTCTGGTGGGGCAAGGAGTTTGGGATCAGGCTATGAACTTACTTTCATCAGCACCAGTCTCTTGCTCACTGCAGTTCATTGTTCTCCTATTACTTGAGCAGGATGCATGGAGTACTTCAAGAGATGTTTTCCTAGAGATGCAAATGGCTGGGGTCTGAGCTCCCCAGAGGGTTCGTAGCCAGGCTGTTTGTGCCTCTCTCCTCCTCTCTCTTTGAAGCACATCTTAAAAAAAAAAAAAATAAATAAATTAAAAAGCTGAACTTTATTTCCTGACAACTCCTTATACCCTATTCTGGTCTGAGGACCGTAGCCCTCTTGCTGCTTGTATCAAGGGGGGAGTGACTGATGTAGGGAGCCGGGGCCATAAAGCACCTCGTGGGCACTAGAAATTTGGCTGTGCTGAGGGGAGAGCGATGCTCTGG